AATATATATATGAGTATCTTAACTGCTAAATAAAGATGCAGACTACTGATTCATAGTTTGGTTAGTTCTTGACTGTGTGTTTCATAGTGTCCTGTCCCTATTATACATTTTATGTTCATTGATTTCTTAGTATGTGTGAGTGCAAAATGTGCTGGAGTGAATATTGAACTGAAATGCAATAAGTTACTTTATAGGTACAGTAGGTGGATTATATACAGCATATGCACGTACAGTATACAGCCTGCTTAGTTTTATATGTGACAATGATGGTTAATATATAGAGACAAAGCGACTAGTCAAAGTTAAAAAATGTTTTGCTAATTTTGCTAATTACCAGTGTCTTAAATGACCTTTTCTGAGGCATTTGACAAATATACAGTACAGTACGTTTCTCATTTTTCTGCACATTTGAGATACATAAAGCTCCTGACTGCCTCAGCTTCATGAAGAACATGGCTCAAGTTCTGCAAACTAAAACAACCATGATGTTTGCTCAGATGTATGTCTTGAATGTTCATTTTTACAAAAACTTTCCTCCTTTACGTTTGTACTGGTGAATAAAAAAACCTTTGATTTGTGAGATTTTTTTCATTTTAAACCTAATTTATGCTTACACTTTATAAAAGCATAAAAATAAAATATCACATCATGTATTCTTGTATTCTGTTTCATAAAGCAGAGATGTTGCAGAAAATATTATCAGCTATAAAAATACAATAAAAAAGACTAAATGCATACACTCACAGAGCAAACCTCTTTGTGATTTTATTTCACCCAGTCATGACTATGTAAGCTCTAAATGTGATTTCTGTTATAAAGCCCTTGAGGTCTGACTCCAAGGCAAGAGTGTCCTGAAACATTTGATGCTGACATGCAAAAAGAAAGAAGCAAAGGAAGTTACCTTTTTGTCCTGTCCAATACCTCCATCACCACCTTTATCAACTCTGTCAAACCATCATTTCCATCAATCCCTCACAACACTCACCTTTTGTAAATTGTCTCCACTATACACTCCTGCTGTCTCCAAATATATTCTCTGTCCCAGCAGTCAGGGTGAATTAATGTCAGCCCAATCATGTCCACCTCCATCCTATATTTAATTCACAAATCACAGGCATAAAATATTCACACAGTGATGAGGACCAGTTCACAAGTGGTGGCAGGTCAGCAGGGAGTGGACTGATGTGCAGATAATGTTTAAAAAAGTGAAAGAGTTCAAAAATAGTAAAGGATTATTCTGTATTCATTCAGAGAAATAAAGCAATGAGGATGAGAGAAATATTGTACAAAAGAGCGTAAAAGCAACTATCACCTTGAAAGACCCCTGCTGCTGTCCAAGAAACAGTCATGATGTGCAACACAGCACCAGGACAGACCCAGTGGTGAGGTGAGAGGATGTCAAATGAAAATCAGGTAAGACATGAACAAGAACGGTTGAGGAAACAGGCACAGAGAGAAAGGATAGAAGCAGGGAGGAAGTGTGGAGTGTAGAATGGTAGAACCTATGATTTACACCTGCATTCAGACAGACCAGAGGTCTGCAGCTACCAGGGCAGCACAGCACAGCACCAGGGCAGTATCAATCAGATACATCTAAGGATAAGAGAGATAGGAAAAAAAAGGGGAGATAAGGAAAAGGAAAGATGAGATTTGGGGAGGATGAAAGTGGGAGGTGTCTGTATGGGGTGAGGCAATATGGAGATGTCAGCAGTCTTAAAGTCAAAAGACAGCACTTTCCTTCCATCAGGCAGTCATTCTGTCAGGTCCATTGGGACAGAACAGAGTCTGTGCCAGCCAGTCAACCGGCACACGATGAAGGCCATATACATTACATGCCCTGCCCACACAACACTTGCTCAAACCCAAGGTGGCAGGGCTGAGAGTCAGCACTAAAAAAATCTGAAACCTTGCTCTAAATAATAAAAAGAAAACATCCTGAGATGTCAGAGCATTCATGAGTCAAAATGTAAAACAATGCTTTTCACTTAGCCATGAAAACAACAACAACAACAGCAACAACTTGTAACTGATGGCCTACACCCAAGAATGTGAAAATACATCAGGGTGCAATGCTGGTAAATTTGTTCCACCTTTTACAGCTTTAAATACAATGGCAAAGTGCTGATTCAGACAGTCAAACTGAAATAACTTTGCTCAGCAGGGAGCTGCTGACTGCTCAGATCCCCACTGACAATAGAAGCCACCAGTTAGAATCCTAAGCTCAGATTAAACCTGCAAGAAAAGTCATCGCAAAGGCACAGACATACAGTATCACCTTGCCCAAAGTGAAAATAGTTTGTTCAGCTGATTTGATTACTGAGCTTACAGTGAGATGGAGAGAAGGGGGCAGAGTCCTAAAGCCTCAAACTGGAAAAGGTAAGGCCAGAACCATGTAGGGCAGGAGAAAGGAGAGCTTATCTGCTCACGTAACTTCATTGTCCATTAGCAGATTTCATTCCAATAAGTGAACAAGCCTCACCTCTTTTCTTCTTCTAGTATTTCCAGGCCAGTTAATACACTGGTGCTGGGAAATGCTCTGGGGTCTCGGAGTCCATCTCTGAGATGTGCTGGAGCAGAGAGACAATAAATCCTGAGCCCTGTGTCAGTTATCAAAGAGGGTTGATGAATATTTGAAGAATGATCTTTAACAGGAAATCAACTACATCTTAGAGGATGGCCTGACTGTCATTTGTCAAGGCTGAAGACCCATGATGACTCGAGCCATTTTCCACAGAGGCTTTTCCACCTTCCTGCTGTTTCTGTATTCATACGAGCAGGAGGTGGCTCTGTACGGGACCACAAATAGAATGTTTATGACCCCTTGTGCTATGTTACCACATAATATACAGCCAAATTGAATCAGGCTCAGTGTGACATTGCTGTTATTTCAGGGACAATACACTAAAGTACCACAAAAAGTACTGCGATTTCTTGTTCTATGGTTCCACATAAAAAAGTAATTACAGAATTGAACAGTACTATAGCATGAAATTTAAATTATAGCTATCAATGTGATGCAGCAAGGACACTTTAGTGAATTCACCTCCTCACTCAGCTGCTTTTAAACAAGGCCTGAACAGTGTAATGAAACAATCACTTTGGTGAGCAAAAGCAACTTAATTATATAAGTTATCAAACCAAATGACAGAGATGACACAGCTGTGTGGCGGGGAGCCTGATTCCCTAATGTGTTCCATGAAATACTGTGTATATGAACAGGAGTGAGAGGACAGTGGGTTAATCCACCCGGGTTTTCACTTTCCTTTCCATCGCTTCTCTCATTACAGGTCATTACACAATCACACTGGTAGCTTCCTGCTTATTAACATAGCAAAAGTGGTAAACTGAGAGTGGTCGATAAAATAAAGTAGCCACATATGTTCTCATTTTCATGACTTTCAATTACAGTTTCCCCCTTTTGTTTCCCAGAACTGAGAGTATATTTCCAGCCCTGTTATTCCAGTGTGTCTGAATTTAGTCCTGCCATTTTAAACTGTGTTTAGATAGACAGTTTGTAATGACAGCGTTGTCGAGGTGTTTCAAGACACTACAATTTTAACATTAACCTGGACAAAATAAAGGAGCAATAAAAAAGAAAAAGTAGATGCTTCTCTGTTGCAGTATGTTTAAATAAAGATGTATGAGAATGAGGACATAAAGCAATTTGCAGCTACTTAAACTTGTTGAAATGTGGCTGTCAACAGTATAACGTGCATACTTGGGTGAGCGTTCTTATTACTTTTCATTTAAGCTGAACGAATTGACCTGCTATCTTGGATATTCTCTGTGTTTTAATCTGAAAATTCCAGCTGGTTTTGAAATGGCGCTGTACCTCTGTTCTCATGTGTCCTCAATCAGATTCCAGATACCAAAAACTCAGATTACACATTACTCTAAACAAACCAGAGTTAATTATTCAGTAGTTGAGAATGTAACATAAGACAATACAGATAGAGGAGTCCAAGAAGGCTGTGGTGCACAACACCTGGCACAGATATCTTGCAGTGGGTAAATAAGGTGCAGGATTGACTACAGCAAGCACCTCCATGCACGACCTGGATCTGATTACACAATAACTGATGAGAGTTGACCACAGACAGCGAACACTGCCAACACAATACTTATAGAGTTTGTTTCAGCATCAACTGCAAACCTGAAAGAGCTCATTAAATTCAAAATACACTTAGAGAAAATGAGATTTTTCTAAATTAAATTGACTTGTGTAGTGCTACCTGTTGAGGATGTGTGCATCATTGCTATTCTAATGACCTATGGGGGGGGGGGGTTCAGTAGAAAAAATACCCCCCATCTCAGCATGATAATTCAGTCGACATGTCCTCAAGGTGCCTTGCTTGGGGCTAAAAGACACAGAGACCGAGCCCTCTGTGTTGTCACACAGGTACTGTTATAGTAGTTTCATAGCACATTGGTCCATGATATGGTTTGAAATAAATCACAGCATAAAAATAAATAAATAAAAATCTGTAGCTATGTTAGGTATAAAACAATAATGGCTATTTTTTATATAAGCTAATTATATTTCTACATTTCCAAATACAGCTGGCATAACAGTCACCAAGATCAGTACATTTTATGTAAATGTTTTCTTGTCTTGGTTTGTACTCCTGGTCTCATCAAGCTCCCATCTCTAGCATTTCTCTTGTTTATTTCCAAACCCACAGAGATATTTACTGCTGCATTTTGGCAGTAGGACTCTTGTGATCAGCTAATAGTGGTTTGGCAGACTTGGGGAACAGAGCATCTGTAACGAGAGGATAACTTCGAAAGTTTGACACAAATATTATCGACTACGGACTTTTAAACTTATCAGTACAGTGTCTTAAACGGCACTGAAGGAGATGCAAGTCATAGTCTACAGCATTTCTCAGTCTCCTGCAGACTCACGCCCGATACAAGCTTTAACTATGCAGATCTTTGGAATAGCCTACACGCATTTCAGGCAGTGCATTGCAAATAATTGCCAATCATACTGCACCAACCTGATCCCAAATAAGATGTTCCTTGTGTCCGGACAGCTGCAGCCTCAAACTTTATGATGCGCTTGGTTCTCCACCTCCTCCACCTCCTCCTGCTCCTCCTCAGCTGCTGCTGCTGATGCTGCTGCGTGTCACTTCGCTCGGAAACACGATGGAAAGCAGGGGAGTCTCTTAAAGCTCCCCACCCACTCCGACCTCCCCCGGGGCGCAGAACCAATCACAAAGGTAGCCTCAACACTGCTACATCGACAAATTCATGCAGAACACAACTGACTGTAGTCATAAAAATACATACGTTTGGCCGAATGTGACGGGATGGGAGACATCTACAGAGACGCTTTGGTAAATTATGCAGGATATTAAATATTTGTTTGTTACAGAATAATTAACGTCCAGTAGGAATATTACTGCCTTACCTATACAAACTCAATTCACAGACACATAATTGCACCTAAGGGTTAATGTTAAGTGACATTTAATTGATCTATCCTATATTATTGTGTTCTATAAGCATTATATGTCTTGTCTTTTTGCTCAAAATGTCTAGACCCAGACCAGACTGGGGTAAAATCCAGACTCAGTAGGCCTGTAATGTGGGGAAATGAAGGTCATTTATCTGTGCCTCTGTGAAACTTAATCAATATCAATAATGCAAATAAATAAATAAATAAAACTTTATGTCAGACCCTGCTACACAATGTAATACAGGTATAACCAAACTCCAGAGTCAATCTCAGTTAATGTGGCTTCAGACAAATGATCCTTTTCTTATCTTCAGCCATTTTGTTTTGGAAAGCAGCTTGTTTTATCACCTTCTCCTCTGCTGCTTTCTGCAAAATCACTCCATTAAAGGACCAGTCCAAATAGCATTTAGTGTATGCAGGTTTATTATATATAACTTTAGTCAAAGTCATTGATTAAGCTCTGATGCAAAACTTTGCAAAAGTTGCCAGATTTGCATGTTCTTTTAATACATTTCCCAAATTGACAAAATGCACCATAAAACTGCAGAGATCCCAGAGTTTGTTTCATTTCATATTGGGTACACGCAGCACAGCCGATATGGGTCCATCAAAACTCCAGCAGCAAGTAAACTCACACTTCTAACTTTGAACATCAATGGATGATACAATAAAACAACTCTCTAAAGTCTCAAATTCAAATGTAAAAACTACACCACATATTCCCCACTGGTTCTTCTCCTGATAATGAGCGTGGGCTGACACAGCAAAGTGTTCAAACCTTTGACAACCCAGCTGGATGTACATCTATTATTGCAGTGCTGATTTTAATTAAAGCAATTTTCTCTTGGAACAAAATGGCAGCTTCACATTAGAGGTTGAAAATGTTCATGTATTTGTCTAAGTGTGTGTGTTCATTCCCTGTGGAGCGACTGTGTGCAAGTACAGATGTAGAGTCTGTCACTTTCCCAGGTGCGTGTACTGTACGAGTGTGTGTGTGTGTGTGTGTGTGTGTGTACTGTGCGAGTGTGTGTGTGTGTGTGTGTGTACTGTACGAGTGTGTGTGGGAGGCTGTTAATGAAGCCCATATCTGACATGTTGACTACAATCTCCTGCCTTGTTAACCTGAAGAGGGCAAGTGTATAAATTGGTCTGTGCATGTGTAATCCTCCTGTATGCAACTGAAAATGTCTTATTTTCTGGTTTTGTGTCTGTGTGTTTGTGTGTGTAGGTCAAGGGGCAGTTGGCCACGACCAATCAATAAGCCTGATAATGAGATGTGAGGAGTGTCATTATAGTGGCCCCACAGGCACGCAACACGCTCTCTTTCATTTAGGACAGCGCTGTCTCCTCTGCTCCTGCAGACACACACCTCATTAACCTTTTGAGCCAGCACAACACTGACCAAATGCCATTTACTTTTCCCCGACATGCTCTGATATTTGATTAAGCAAATAAACACTTTTTGTCTCTTTGGTGGAAGCTGTAATTTCTCAGATGGTCTCAGAACGTTCCATGGTCTGGTTCTGTGTAGTGGTTTAGAATCAGTTTGAAGCTTTAGTCAGCCAATTCATGTGGAATGGATTATTATACAAATTAAAACTATGTACAGCATTAATGAGTGGCATCTAAGTTCTGTCCTCACTGCTATGACCAAGGAGATGTCTGTAGCTCTAAATGAGCACTGATGACTCTAGCATGATTAAAGGGGTAGGTTGGGTATGTGTAGGACGGATAGCAGCTGACCCCAGTTGGGCTTCCCGAACTAGGTCATGTGTTTTGCTTCTTTATTACATTGGGCATTGTCAGGTTTGCTCGGCCGCTCTGGCCTCCCTCACCTTTCCTACTGTCTCTTGCCCATTAACACTAATCACGTTCACCTGTTCCTCACTCCCTTATCACCAGCTGCACTTGATTAGGTTGCTCACTATATTACCCGGTTTCACTCCTCAGTCACTTGCCAGTTCGTTCTAGTCTCTAGGCCATTTTTTCTCCGTGCTCTTTCGTTTTTTGTATGTATTTATCCCCTAGCCAGCTACTGTTTTGTGTTCCCCCCATGGACTGTTCCTCCGGACCGTGGCTCCACTCTCCCCTCCCAGGCAGGTCAATGCTCAGTCGCCTATCTGTTCCACAATTGCCTTCATCTCTCTGTTTCTACCTTCAGTAGCCACCATCACCACCGACCAGCCCAGGAGTGACCCCACCTACGCAGCTTGGCCCAGTTTTCCATCTCCTCGCCTCCTGCGGTTGGTCAAACACCCGGCTACTAAATGAAAATTAAGAATATATAAGCACATTTTGACAGGGATCAAACTACTGGGCTGATTAATTATTTTTAGGAGGGTTTTCATGCTAAGTATGACAATGTTTCCACCTCCCTGAAGCCTGCTGTCCCCCTCGTGGCAGTAATCCCTCCCGTGCTGAACACCAGCACATGATTATGACAATAATATGCAAAAAAAAAACTCCAGTGGCCTCTGTTTTCTAAGTGAAAGGTGAACAAAGTGTCTGAAAGTCATTAGAATCTCAGGAGTAATTGTGTAGCCAGTGACCTTCAGAGTTACTGTATGTCACTTCCCTTGTGGTGTTTGTGTGTTCATTAATGTAGGGGTTTGGAACAGTACAGGGGAACTAGCCTGAGCGTCTAGAGACTACCCTGTAACCAGTTTCATCTTGAGCAAGATATTTAGCCATTTCATGGTCATACATCATGAGTTGCTGAATGAGAACATCAACAAAATGCACAAATTTGAATTAAGTTCAGTAAAGACACTTTACTGACGGAAACACTGAGCTGAGTCAGCGTGTTTTCTCAGACACATGGACACATCCTCTAAACAAGCAAAGGATTAGTCTGATTGTGTTGGTATCTACATGTACATATAGAGTTTTAAAACCACTTTTACATGATAAAATCAGAGAGGCTTTTTTCAAATCAATTTATTTTCTGTTCTGGATTGGTTCTCTGATATCTGTAAATGTCTGATGTTTACAGCTACAAGGACAAGTTAAAAACAGTGGCAGTTTGAATGTGCGTGTCTTTGTGTGTCCTCTGTTGTCGGGGTTGCAGAGAGCAGAGGCTACGATTCCCCGGTGATTTTGTTCAGGTTGCAGGGGAGGCGACTTGTGAAAAGGGTTTAATTGTTCCCCCTCAGTCCTGGGTATGGGGTGACATCACCCAGTGGGTGACATTCATCACACAGTTTCACAATTTCACCCTGCACTGTCCAAGTGCCAGCACTGTGCAAGCGCTCTCTCTCTCTCACACACACAAACACACACTCACCTCCATCTATCGGTTTCCAAGCAGTTTTGTTGATCCACTCATCATGGTCTATTTAATGCTCTATTTTTATTTAATTACTCTAAAGTGTCTGGCCAGTTAGCTCCAAGGTCTTAGCATTTTTTGTGTGTATATAGTCCACTACAGGACTATAATCAGAATAACTAAGCAACTCAATTGTATACATGGCAGTTATATTGTACAATTATAGAAGAAGATGTTGCACAGCTACACATCATTGCTATGATGTAATCTTTCTGTGTGTACTGTATGTGTGCGTGCACATGCTGCCCATTGATGTCCATTTCCTCCACTGTTTTTCAGCATTACAAATGTAGATCCATGCCTTGAGCCTGTCCATTTACTCCCCATTCAGCCATGATGGCACTGTGGAAAAATTAGATATTAATGAGACATTAGCTCAACCCCTGACCTTGGTAAAAGCATTCTGTGGATTTATTTTCTGTCCCAAGGGAGAGTGCGGAATGCATGGTTGCTCTTAGTTATTCATAAGAGCATTAATTATGCATAGCCACTGAATAGCAGTAAACAATCTTTGTGTACAGTGAGAAAACAAGTTCCCAGTGAAATAGATTTTAATGGTTTAAAGTGATTCTGAGCCTCCTACTCTGAAACTTGAAGCAAAATGATTGATAACTGTTTGATATCAGCTTTGGAAATTAAGTAGGTCTGATCACTGTGAAGAAGTAGACAGCGATGGGAGGAGTTTGTAAGAGCAGGCTGCCAAAATGATTTTTTACCGATGCTCATGGTGTAATTTTCCTTCTCAGAGAACGAGAGAAGGAAGAAGAGAGAAGGAGGGGGGCCGAATTAAATTAAAATGAGAGGACACTTGGTTCAGATAACAGAGTCTGATGGGGCCAGTTGACTGATGATGCACCATTTAAAATTTTCTGTGCACGATTAGCATCGCAGGAGGATTAAATTTTGGCTACATTTAAAGAGATTCATCATTTCTATAAATTAATGAAACAAATAATGAATATATTAATAACAAATGAGGGATAAGCCATGCCAGAAAGGCAATCAGTCACACTGTTGCAATGCATCACTTTCAAATTTGTTATTTGTATTCTAAGACACTCTGGTCCAGGATATTACACAAAACATGCATATGACTCTTTTCAACACATAATGTACTTTTTTATGGTGAGATTAAGTCAGTACCATCTCTCCACCTGTGAATAAATAGGAGAGGCCAGACAGCTTGAGATAGTGAAGGTAAAATGGCACATAATGTTACACTATACCAATGAGGAGATCAGGTTTAACTCACTGGGTTGTTGAAATCTTCTGCCACAATGATGTTAGATCCTAAATGGCCACTGACACTGAGAGGAGTGC